GCTCGGACACCGACGCAGATCGGGGGTCCGAGGCGGAGTTCGTCGGCTGATGGCAACGGTTGGCGCCACTGTGGGCAGAGCAACGCCATGCCATACCATACCTCCTCCGCCTCCTTCTCCTCCTCCCTCCTCATCTCCCTCCTCGGCGTCCTCTTCGTCCTCGTCCTCATCCTGATCCCCCTTCTCCTCCTCCTCCTCCTCCTCCTCCTCCTCCTCCTCCTCTTCCTCCTCCCGTTGTCGTCCACCTCGTCGTCTTCTTCCTCCTCCTCCTCGAACTTCTCGTCCTCGTCATCCTCCTCGTCCTCCTCGTCCTCCTTGCCCTAGGTTTCGACATCCTCCTTCTCCTCGGCTCCTCGTCGTTATCGTTCTCTTCCTCACCCGCCTCTATCCTCCTCCCCATCCTCCTCCTCTGCCACTGTCGCCCTTCGCGTCGTCGATGAGGACGGGGAGGACGCGGAAAACAACTCCTCCCGCACGCAGGAGGGAGAAGGAAGGGGGAGGAAGGATATGGAGGTAGAGACAACGAGCAGGTGTAATCCGAATACGAACACGCAAGACGACGAACCAGAGTACGGATAATACGGATACCAACACAAATAAGCATACTACTAACAACCATGATCATAACGACGATGCGGATGATACTAATAATGATAACAATGCTGCTAATAATAGTTATCAGGATGCCACTACTACGACTAATAATACTACCAATAAGTATGATGAACATGCCACGGGGAACAATGCGAATACTGATACGAAAAGGGAGGATATAGAGCAGGACGATGTGAAAGCGCAACAGGAGGGGAGGGGGGGAAGCGGGGAAGCAGAGGGCAACAGTCCCAGTCGCGGGCAGTGACGGGCTGACGCGTCATCGTCGGGAGGAGGAGGAGGAGGAGGAGAAGGAGGAGGAGGAGGAGGACGAGGAGGAGGAGGAGGAGGAGGAGAGCGAGAGAGGGCAGGAAGGACGACCACAGGACAAGAGGAGGAGGAGGAGGAGGAGGAGGAGGAGGAGGAGGAGGAGGAGGAAGAGGAGGAAGACGAATAGACGGACGCAGACGCAAGGAGAAAACACCAGCCTTCTTCTCGGTGGGCAAGCCACCCTTCAGCCAGCACTGGCTGGGGCAACCGTCGAGCCCCGCGTCCTGCGCAGCGTCGTCTTCGTCCGCCGTCGTGGTCGTCGCTGTCCTCGTCGAAAGGAGGATGCCTCCTCATCGTCTTCCTCCTTATCCTCCTTATCCTCCTCCTCCTCCTCCTCCTCCTCCTCATTGATCATCCTCTCTCCAACTCATCAACCCTTCCTCGCAGGAAGACGTTCAGCCGTGCACTAGCCCATCCTTTCCTTCCTGACCCAGACTTCCAGCGGACTGCCTGCTCAATCCGTGGCCCTGGAGCTTTCGGCCCCTCTCCCTGAGGCCAGTTTTCGTCCCAGCCGTTTTTTTCGTGGCCTCAGGGCGCCCGAGTAGGACCCTCGACTGCCAAAATCGCAGAGAAAGCCCAACGTTGACAAAGCAACGAAAACACAACGTTGGAGGACCGTGTTAGCAAAAGACCCGACCCTGCAGGCCACCAGACGCCTCCAGAGGCCAAGTGATGGCCAGAGCATCGAATCGCGACTTGGACGGCCCCCTGCAGCGGCGGCGCTCCTCCTCCTCCTCCTCCTCCTCCTCCTCCTCCTCCTCCTCCTCCTCCTCCTCCTCCTCCTCCTCCTCCTCCTCCTCCTCCTCTCTCCTCCTCCCTCCTCCTTCATCATCTTCCTGGTTCCTGCTCCTTTTCCTCCTACCTCCTCCTGATTCTCCCACACCGTCCCCCTCCTCCTTATCAACCTTCTCGGTCGGTCTGCCAGTAAGGCTGACAGTCGACGCTCCACCCTATACAAGCGGCTCGGCACGCTCCACCAGACCCCTGGGGCTTCGCAGCCTCTTGCATTTCATCGATCACACAACAATCCAAGCTCGAGCACAAGCACCGTGGAAGGTGGGTCTTGCGTCACAGCTTGCGTGGATGGCCTGAAACGCAGGCGCAACGGCAGCGGAGATGGGAGAGGATGCAAGTCCGATGCGACACGATGACTTTGTCAGCCGAGGTGAACTACCCTCCTCCCCCTCGCAGAGTCATCTTCGCCCACTCGAGCGAGGGACCCGCGTCAACCCACCGGGGTCTGCACGCATTCGAAGAAAGGGTACGAAAACCTGGCCCGCATCCGCCAGGGCCACAGCGCAGCCGCCATGAAGCTGACCTCTGCGAAGCGCCACGGAGTGAGGCCGCCGCCGTAGTTGTGAATATGACCTCTGCCGCCTGCCGCAGTTGCAGCTGATCTCTGCGGAGTGCCACAGGGTGAGGCCCGTCGAGGAGCTAACCCTCCTGGAGCGTTGTGGTACAGGGGTTCTGCTGTCGCCGCGGCCGCCAGGGCGACACGCCAGGTCCTGCGCGGCTAGCGTGTCGGCCCCGCTCCGCGGCAGGGGAGGCTGGGAAATGCTAGGAACGTTGACGCCTGGTGACCAGGCTGTGGATAGCATGCCGCGCCGAAGCGTGGTGGGCCAGAACTGGCGACGCGACATGCCGAGCCAGAGTTCCTGACCGCACGTCGACTTCAGCGCACATCGACCATTAAAGCCACCTGGGCGAAGCGAGCGGCTGGTCCGGGAGCTGGTCCAGGCACGTGAGCACAAGCGGGTCGGGTCTGCCTTCCATCAGCCTGCGTCAGGGCGGCGGCGGCCTGCACAAGGAACACGCCCTGGGAGCGGAGCCACTCGGGCAACCCTGAACGAACGAACAACGACATCCACCAGGGATTGTGCTGAGGAGCAGATGTCTGCTGTTGCAACGAGTTGTTCCGCCCTCTCCTCCTCCTCCTCCTCCTCCTTCTCCTCCTCCTCCTCATCGTCCTCCCGCTCCTCTTCCGCCGTATCAGCGGGGCTGGCGGAGGCTACTGGTTACTTCCAGGCCTACCTGACCCTCCTCTCCTGCCCCATCCGGCCAACAACTGCATGTCTTTGAGAGTCGGTCGTTTCTCTTTCTCCTTCTCCTCGTCCGCATCTGCAGGTGCCTGCCATTGCACAGAAATGTCCCACCTCCTTCCACCTCCACATCCTGCCATCTCTCAACGCTTCACATCCTCCAGAAGGAGGAAAACACACCACAAACATAAACGTTTGGCACTCCGCGCGGATTTCTTGGATCTGCGCTGGAACCCCCTTCCATGGAGCGCGGAGCGCGCCAAGGGCAGCGCCGGAGGCGCCGCCAGGGGAGGCCCCAGCGCGGATCCGAGAAATCCGTGCAGAGCGCCAACAGTTTATGCTCATGGCGTCTTTTCCCTCGAACCCTCCTTCTTTAGAGGCCTCTTTGATGGTGTCCAAGTGGATGGGGCCGAAGGATCCCAGAACATCGCCTATGCATCGCCGATGTATCGGCGATGCATCGGAGATGCATTGGCGACGTCGGCGATGCATCGACAACGTCGACGTGGAGCAAATCGGGCTCCACATCGAGCTGCATCGTCGATGCATCGTCGATGCATCGGCGATGCGGCGCGATCCTCCGACCCCATCTACTCGGACCCCACCTAGGAGGGCTCGATCCTCCCTCCCATCCTCGACATCTTTGGACGCCCGACATGGGTACCGAAAAAATGGGTACGATGCCCAACAACAAATATGGTCCCAAACCAACAGCGGCCGCTGTTGGGCGGGCGGCCTCCTGTCTCAAATGTACACAGGCCGCGGCGACACCGACAACGAGCCCTGTTCAAAATGAACAGGGACCGCTGTTGGGCATCGTACCCATTCTTTCCGTACCCATTTCGGGCGTCCAAAACATCGCCGTCGTCGTCTTCCGCGGCCCCTCACAGAGGAGCAGCCCCCAGGCCCTCTCCCGCGTCCCCTGGCCAGGCTTCAAAAAAGGCGAATCCGGTCGTGGCCACGGGGGCCCCCCCCTGAAGGCCCAACGGCACCAACGCCGACCACGACGACGACGAGGACGAGGACGACGACAACGACGACGACGACTTCGACGACGACGACTTCGACGACGACGGCGACGACGAACTCGACGAAGACGGCGACGACGACGACGACGACGACGACTTGCGCCGTTGCCGCAGACGGTTTCGTTGCCGCCGTCGTCATCGAGGCCGTCCTTGACCCATCCCCAGCTTTTGCACTCGGGCACGCCCTGGCACATGGCGCAGCACATGGCGGCGTTGGGGATGTGGTCCAGGGACATGCCGAAGGACTCCTCACCACAAAGAGGAGGACTACATCGAGAGGAGCCCGGCTGGCTCGGCTTCTCGGGACCTGCCCACGGAGGAGACGCCGAGCTGCCGAAGGTGCCGAAGCCTGCTGCGTCCAGATCGCCGACGTTAGCAGGCGGGTGTGCCCCAAAGGAAGAAGACGAAGAGTACGATCGGACCTAGAACAGAATAACATCCTCCAAGAATATGAGACCCTCCGCAGTCCAAACTGTGGAAAACTCGAGGGTACCCTCCACCAGGATACACAAGAAAATCCAACAAACACGAAGAACACGAGGAGACCCTACCCGAATCGACCTCGATCTCATACCTCGGTCCGATTGTAAGGATAGAGGCGCGACGAGGAAGGCGCACGTGTTCAGGACATGTCGCAAGCCGCCTCGCCTCGGGGCATCCTGCCCTGGCACCTGGAGGCCCATAAGAGGCCCCGGACGCCCAAGCAAATGGACAAGGTGGGAGCATTAGAATGACGATGGTGATAGTGGTGGTGATGAGGATGATTTTTTTTCACACCTCGCGCACCGAGCGCCCCCCGTTGCACACAAAAGCCCCGCCGGACAGGTCCCTGGCGCGCCCGGCCAGCGCCAGCCGCCTGGCGGGGTCCTCCCCCGGCAGGATAACCACCATTTTGTCGGGCGCTGGATGTGGTAGGAGGGCACCGACTATACACCAACACCGATCCTGGCCAGGATCACCCTGGGCCAGGATCGGTGTTGGTGTATAGTTGGTGCCCTCCGCTGTGGGCCCCTCAAGCCGTCTGCGGGCGGCGCGGGCGACAGCAGCTGCTCGCTGGCGAGGCACTCGATGGCCCTGTCGACTCCCTTTTTGAAGAGCCTCTCGACGCTCTCTGGCGTGCAGAAGATCAGGGGGGCGTAAGACCCAGGTACAGGGGACTCGGAAATCCCCGACGAGGTCGTCAACAAAAAGACGAGGCCGAGCCTGCATTTTGACGAGGCCTCCCGCTGCAGACATCCCACGAAACTCCTACTCGTCAAAATCCGAATCGCGGTCGTCAAAAAACGATGGCGAACCCGAGTCCTGGCAAACCCGGGTCTTACGCTCCCCCGAGAAGAGGGCGTCGCACGCCTCTGAGAACATGGTGTAGTAGTACAGCGTCGCGTTGCGGCGCTCGTCCCCCAAGGACCAGAGGCCCACTGGGTGCCCCCCGTCACAGAACGAGTGCGGGAGCTGCACCTGCGCCGGCGCGGTGGCTCCGTCGTGCCCGTGCAGCGCGAAGCGGGCGCCCTCTGGCGCAAGCCCGCGGATGCCCCTCAGGAAGCCCTTCCCCGTCGCCTCCCCGGTGGCCACGAACGCCTGCACGGCCTGCTCCTCTCGGGTCGGGCGAAAGGGGGGGATAGCAAAGGGGGGGTTTGAGAATCAGCTCACGTAGCTGATTTTCCCGGCGCCTCCCAGCGCCGGAGGCGGCCATGTATCGAGGAATGGGCCCCTCGGTGAGGCCGAAACCAGCTGCATGCAGCAAATTTCGTAACCCCCCCTTTCCCAATCCCCCCCTTTCGCCCGACCCGATCCTCGGTCTCGAAGTCGCTGAACACGTAGTTGTCCGACGCCGCCAGGAACGACGGCGAGTCGCCGTCGCCTTGCCGGGGCCGCCCGAGGACTGCAGCACGCAGGGGCCTGGCGGCGACAGCGACGAACGCCCGCCGCCGAATCGCCGCAAAGGCCAGCGGGTCCCGGAGCAGCTCTCTGTACCGGTTCTCCCAGAAGCTGCTGACCCCAACGAAGACCTGCCCGAGCGCGCTGAGCCCGCGGTGCACCGGGCCTACGCCCTCCGACTCACCGTAATCCAGGTAAGAGCGCAACAATACCTCCGAGTCAGGGCACCGGCAGCCCCCGCCCTCTGTCCCGCGCATGCCAGCCACGATGAGGAAGAGGCTGCACGCACCCCCGCTGGCGCCAATGAAGCGATCCACCTGGACGTGGCCGTCCCCGCCAAGCAGGTGTAGCACCTCAGCCATGCCGCCCGCCGCCACGGAGAAGTACGCGGCGCCGGGCAACGCCACGTCCAGCACCAGGGGCCCACCGCCGCACCTGGCTCTGACGCGCTCCAAGTTGGCGGCCGCCTGGCTGCCCTCCACCTGCTCCTTGGCGTAGTCCCGCAGCCGCTGGATTAAGCGCTCCATCGACCCAGGGGCGACCCCTGCGCGCCCCGCGGCAGTCAGCGCCACAGGCCGCGGGCCAGCCTCGGCCTCGCGGCCAGGCGAGGCCGGGCCCGGGGTGGGTACCCGCATGCCTCGAGGCGCCTGCCGCTTGAGCCGAAATGGCTACGGAGTGGTGGTGATGAGGATGAGGAGGATATTGGTGATCAGGATAGTGATGGTGCTGATGATCATGTTGTCGATGATGTTGAGGATGGTAAGAATGATGATGAGGATGATGATGATGATAATGCTGATGATGCTGCTGACAATGATGAAGATGATGATGATGATGCTGATGATGATGCTGATGATGATGATGATGATGATGATGATGATGATGATGATGATGATGATGATGATGGTGGTAATGATGATGATTATGATGATGAGGAGGATGACAATGTGTAATTATGATGTTGATGATGATGAGGATGCTGATGGTGGGGAGGGTGGTGATGAGGATGCTGATGGTGATGATGATGATGATGATGATGATGATGATGATGATGATGGCGTTGAGGATGCAAGTGTCGATGCTGAGTGTGATGACGATGATGTCGTAGCTGTTGTTGATGACGATGATGGTGATGATGCTGATGATGACGTTGGCGATGATGATAAGTTATGATGCTGATGATGTTGATGAGTATGATACTGCTGATGATGATTACAATGATGATGATGATCATGGTAACGGTAATGGTAATGGTGATGTTGATACTGATGGTGATGATGATGTTGAGGAGGAGGAATACGAGGATGATGAGGAGGAGGATCAGAAGGAGGAGCAGGAGAAGGAGAAGAAGGATGAACAGCAACAACAATAGCAACAGCAGGAGTAGGGGGCCAAGAAGCGGAAGAGGGAGGAGGGAGGAGGGAGAGGACTGGGAGGAGGAGGAAGAAGAGGAAGAGGAGGAGGATGGAGAGAAAGAAGGCAGATGACAGGGATGAGAAGGAGGTGGAGGAGGTGTTTGGTTGCGCGAGGGGTCTTCAGGCGATGTTGTGCTAGAGGCTCTAGAGGTTTGGAACAAGATCGAGAGTTCAGGAGTAGGGAGAGGAGGGGAGGGAGAAGGGAAAGAAGGAGGAGGCGGAGGAGGAAGGGAGCAGGGAGGACGAGGATGGGGGAAGAGGAAGAGTGAGGCAAGGGGGGGGGGGATAGAGTACGTTCGGGAGGAGTGAAGAGGAAGAGGAAGAGTGAGGAGGAGGAAGAGGAATAATGAGGCGCGGAGAGGAGGAGGAGCCAGGTGTTGCAAGAGGTGGCTTCCTGGCCTAAGGATACCTCGGCTTTCCCAGGGCGGCCCCGGTGGACTCAGGGTGACCTCGGATTGCCTGAGCGTGCCTCACGAGGCTATACAGGGCGGGGGCCCTGAGAGTGCACGAAACAGTTGGGGCACCTTGTACCTTGACCAAGGGACCATCCCTGGCATACCCAGAGGAAGAGGAGGCGGAGGAGGAGAAGCCGAACCAGAGTACTGTAAACCCAAGATGCGCCAGCGATGCTGCAAGACACCCCGCGTCCTTACAAGCCTACAAGGAGTGCCCACTTGAAATACGAGAACCCTATGCGTCTTCCATTCAGGCCAGGGCCCTCTCTGAGAAGGAACCGCACTGTTATCCTTCTGGAGCGAAATGAGACATGCGAAACTGATCCAGCGAGATCCCCATGTGAACGGTAATCGCCCCCCGTCCGCGCTACTGCTGCACCATGTTGCGTGCAGTTCTGACCAAAAGCCTCGAGGATGTCTCAAGCGAAAGCGAACGCTGACAGGGAAACATTGACAAGGAACCAACCTCTATCCGTGCAGCTGCTGCTTCTGGTCTCCACGTTCAAGAAATCCCAGGCGACAGCCCCATTCTGAAGACGCCATGTGCTCCATCCTTGTGACTGAAGCAAACTTCTTGGAACGAATGCGCGCGGCACTGGGGCGAGCGCCCGACGGATCTTGCGCGCTGACCCGGGTCAGTGCAGCCCTGGCTTTGCAGGGTCCTGCAAAATCCGACGATCTGGCTGACCCACCCTTTGCACTGACCCCCGTTTCAAGGCTCCCGGATCCCGGGGCTCCCCCCTGGACCCGGCTTTTCATCCCGAGCCGCTGTTTGGCGGTCCCAACCCCCTGCCGTCGCTCGGACGTCCGTTCTCGGTGCATGTGTCGTTATCGTGCGTGGTTTTCTTGCTCGATGCTCCTCGACGGTCCTCGCCGGCCAAAACATGCTAATGTCCCAGCGATGCCAAGCCCCAGGGGAGGGCCTGGGAGGCCCGAAAGCTTTGGCCGTATCCTGCTTCCTCGGGATCGTGCTCTTTTCGTCCATGGTGAGGGGGGGAAGACTGGCAGCAGCAGCAGCAGCAGCAGCAGCAGCAGCAGCAGGAGAGGGAGGACGAGGGCGAGAGGGAAGGAGAGGGGGAGGAGAAGCAGGAGAGGGGGAGGGGGGGGGAAGGAGCAGCGGCGGAGATGGAGACGGAGGAGGAGGAGGAGGAGGAGGAGGAGGAGGAGGAGGAGGAGGAGGCGGAGGAGGAGGAGGAGGAGGAGGAGGAGGAGATAGAGACAAGCCATCACCCATCTTAGAGTTAAGAAAGCTTCAGGCTATGGAAATAGAACTCACTCCAAGCGTTTTCTGGAACAGTAGTCCAGGTCAGATCTACCAACATTCGACGGAAGACAAGAGCTCAAAGAAAACGTCCAGGGTTCAATCCAAATTCTTGATTCTCCTAAACGAGATCTGGAGCCCATGGACATGCATGGCTTCTCTTAACATTTCTGATGGATGAACGTGCGATCGCGCCACATATCATGGCCTGAGCGTCCCATCGTTTGCCGCGCAATTGGAAAGGGGAGCTCCTTCACATAGGAGAAGGACGGATGGTGGCAGCGGGGGAGGAGGGGCAGGCGGCGGATGAGCAGAAGGCGAAGGATGCTGACAATCAGCAAGGAGGAGCATGACAAGGAGTTAGGAAGCAACTCCTGGGATTCGTAAGAATTGAGACCGATTGGAAGGCCATTAAACAGACTCAGGCTGGATTAAGCCCAATACTAAACCAGATTAGCGGGGACTGAAGCGGATTCAACGGGTTTGTGCTGTAATTGTTCACGTACGATCACCGACACTGAGCTAAACATTTCAGGAGTTGCATCCTGCAAGGAGGATCAGCTTCGAGCCGTAGCCAAAGCTAACACCCAAGAAGGAGGGGGAGCAAGAGCAGGAGCATAATAATAATAATGATAATATTACTAACAATACTATTATTAGTAACACTAATAAGAAGAATAAATATAATAATAGTACTAATAATAATAATGAGAAGCATGAGGATCAGCGGCAGGCCGAGGAGGGGAAAGGATGCGGGCGACAACGCAATCAGATTTAGAAGTGTGGTCCGCGCTGGGGCTAGAGCGCCATCCTGAATAATGGCAGCAACGTGCCATTCATGAACTGTGGCCAACGTTACAACAGGAACAGCACTGTGCAGGTCCAATCACGGTCCGAATGAAAAGTCTACTGCTCGGACGGTGGGACTCCGCATAAGAACCGCATTCCTTTCTGTGCCACGACTGAATGCAATAATATGTGCGGTATTGTGTATAAACATGGGATGGCGTTAGACAAGAGGCAGGCAAACTACCTACCCGTAAATGTTGCGAGGAGGGGAAGACAATGAGAAGCAAGAGGGGAGAACGGAGGAGGAGCAAGGAGATGAGGGGGGCGAGCGGGAGGAAGAGCAATTGGAGTGGGAGTAGGAAGTACGACGCGGATGCCACATACTATGATGCTGATGGTAATGATGGTGATAATGATGCTGACGATGCTGATGATCATAATGACGGCAGTGGTAAGTAGATGATGATGGTGATGGTGGCCATGCTGGTGATGACGGTGATGGTGATGATTGTGGTGATGATGATCGTGATCATACTGCGGCTGATAATGGTCATGCTGCTGATGGTGATCATGATGATGCGGCTGATGGTGTCAATGGGGATGATGTTGGTGATGAGGACGAGGAGGACAAGGAGAATACTCGGGGCTGTGGATAATGAAGATGAAGAGTGTGAGGCGCAGGAGGAGCAGGATGAGCATGATGAGGACGAGGAGGCATCGGAGTAGCAAGTGGGGAGGAGGAGGAGGAAGAGGAGGAGGAGGAGCAGGAACATGTGGAGTAGGAGGACGAGGATAATGATGAGGAGCAGGTATCAGGAGGGAGAAGGGTACACAAGAGGAGAAGGAGGAGGACGGGTAGGATAATAAGTATGAGGATGACTAGAAGGAGGATGTGGTGGAGGAGGAGGACATGGAGGATGATGAAAAGAAACAGAAGCAGCAAGAAGAGAAGGCGGAGGATAATGGTTCAACCAACATCCTGTCAGGAAGAGGTGGTTGACATATATAGCGGTGGAAGGAAGCTGCAGGAGAGATGGCAGGGAACGAAAACAGGAGACGGATGACGACGGGGGAGGACGAGGAGGATGAGGGTGATGACGCAGGCGGCGAAATTCTAATCCACAATGAGTTACACCTTATTGCGATAGCCGTCTGAATTTTACAGTCTTCCGCGTGTCGAGACATCCGCCAGATTTACTCATACACGAGGCTCCCGTTCGAGACATCCTCACAGGTTGATCAGGCATGAGGCTCGCCCTCCAGCTTTCTTCGCGAATTGCTCACCCACGAGGCTCTCGCCCGAGACCTCCAGGTGTCGACTACCAGTTGCTTTTGCATGCGTCCCGATGGCCACCTAGGATGAGAAACAAAAGGTGGGATCGCATAAGGGGAGTGGGAAGGGGTTTCCGCTCGAGAACTCCTTGCACTTTACAAACAGACGGGCTCTCGCTCGAGATACCCCCACACGTTGCTCATGAATTATGGTCATGGTCGTGATGGTGACGACGATGACGGTCGTGGTGATGAGAATGACAAGGACGACGGCGACGATGATGATGGTGATGAGGAGGGGTGCTCCTTTCTGCAGGGCAAGGGGCTGGAGGAGACGAGAGCACACACACACACAGCATGTGGGGAGACATCAAATATCGAAGTCCTGCGTATGAGAAGCGATACGGTACGCAACAAACCAACAAAAAACGAGATCACACGCGCGCATTGCCAGGGGAATGAGAAGAGTAGAATTTGACACCGAGTGCGGTCACGAACCTTCTCCGAGCGTGTCGCTGTGGCGGTCCGTGCGACACGCTGTGCCTTGCAGCTGGCAGCGCGTCGCTCTGCTTCGCGGGACGCGAGGCCGGGAAAAGCTCGGCAGGTCGACGCTTGGGGACTGGGACGTGCTCAGCGTGACGCGCCGAAGCGTGGTGGACCAGAGCCGCCGGCGCGACACGCCAATTAGGCACACGCTCCTGACCGCAGGGTAGCGGAAGACGGGGAAGCGAAGCGAAGCGAAGCGAAGCGCCGGAGTCGTGCGCGCTCCACTGGGGAGCCCGCCCGTGCCCATCAGTTTGGTTGACCCACGAGGGGTCCCTGCTGAAAGGAGGGGGTGCAATAGATTTGGGGCAGTTGTGTTGCACATGTACTGCGCCATAGAAACGTATCGCATTGTGCTGCAACGAGCGCATTGCACGCGAACAACTGGCAGTACATCTGCGCCCCGGAATGTAGTGCGCGCCCCGAAGCTACTGCAGCCCACGAATTGCACCAGCTCTATTTGCACCACCCCCTTAGGGCGCCGGCCTGCTCAAGTGGGGACCGGCCCCGCGACACCCGGAGGAAGCAGCACGCAGCCCAGCCCAGGAGGGTGAGGAGGAGGAGGAGGAGGAGGAGGAGGAGGAGGAAGAGGAGGAGGAGGAGGAGGAGGAGGAGGAGGAGGAGGAGGAGGAGGATAGTAATAGTAGTAGGAGGAGGAGGATGAGGAGGAGGAGGAGGAGGAGGATGAGGAGGACCCCACCTGCGTCCTGGACCCCCTCAGGGCGCCGGCCAGAGCTGGGGCATGGCGCAGAGGCCGCGGCCCCGAACGCGAGAGGTCCGTGCCTGCCCGTCGCTTCCGCGAGGCGCGCCTGCCGAGGAGGACCGGGGAGGGCGAGAACGGAGGACGCGGACCAGGTTGCCCCAGTGAACTACGGCATGTTCGCGTCGTGACGACCCCAGCGTTGGTCTCTGACACCGCGTGGATCGTTCAACCTTGAACGATCGGCCGTTCCCGCAACGTCCAATCGTTCAACATTGACCGATTCTGCTTCGCCGCCGGCGTTCAATATTGAACGCCGCCGGCAGGGTCGCCGCCGGTCGACACGACGCGAACCTGCCGTAACTCAATTGCCACATCCCAAAAATAGTTTCGAGCACCCAGTCATGCTGGCGAAGAGGCGAACGAGCACCGCCTCCCAGGGCCCGGCACGTGCAAGCCTTCCATCATAGTTGCTTTCTTGGTGCTCGACTTGGTTTCTGGTGACCAGGGCTACAGTAGACGGGAACGAGGATCAGGGCGAGGGCGAGGATGAGGCCAGCCAGGCGCGCGCGGTACCGCAGCGAGGCTTCCGAGAGCGGACGGCAGCTCCCCGGGCGCGTCTATTCGGCGGCCGCGCTCATGAGCCTCTGCCGCTCCTCTGCCCCCAGCTCCTTCCAGCGCCTGTGAAGGCCGCCCAGACCAGAGAAAGCTCGAAGATTGGGACGGAGACCCAAACGTGCTCGCGTCGTGAAACATTCAGGACGGGAAGTTTTTGGCCACCTTCGGCCCCTGGAGGCCCTCGCGGGGCCGCGGGACCTTTACAAAACGACTCAGGATGACAAACTGGCCCTGGGGAAAAGGGTCGGGATTTCTAGGGACCGCGTCTGGAATAATCAGGACATCGCATGTCTGGGCTAGCACTATGTGCTGATGTTGGAGGCGCCCGTCCGACCTGACCGTGCAGTGCGCAACTCTTATATAAAGCCTCAACCTTTCAATTCCTGCGATTCGTCTCTCTCTCTCTCTCTCTTTCCGCGGCGCTGCATTCGGAGTGTCATAGAAAGGAATATGCTGTGCATATGGATGGTGCCTGCCTGCGCAAAGGGGGGGCTAAGCGGGCAGGCAAGAGAGTCCGAGCCTCTCCTGAGGCTCCTGAGGCACTGCGGAGTCAATATCCCATCACTCCGAACTCCGCAGCAAGGCTGCACCTCCGGCTCAGCACTGAGACGACCAGGAAGAATAACCTGTAGACAACGATGTACACAATCAGGGCCTCACGCCAGGATGAGCAAGAGGATCACGAGGGGGGCCTCGTGGAGCACCACATGGAAGGCCAAGACGAAGCTGGGGTCCCCTCACGTAGCCAAGCAAAAGCTTGGGGCCACATCCAGGAGACCTGAGACGCCATCTAGCGGATACCTGCCCTGGTTGATTCTGGAAGTCCTGACATGTATGTAGTCGAAACGGGCTCTTGAAGGTAAGCGAGCATGATTTTCTGAGACAACCAACGCCCACGATATGGAACAAGCTGAGGATCACCGGTCTCAGGAGAGAGCTGGGTCGCACCACCAGCACGAAGGGAGGCGAGGTCGAGAGCCCCCCTGCGCCTGCCCCCAAGGCTGAGGGGGGGCCGCAGCTCCCTGCATAGGCCGCTGAACCGCTTCCTGAAGGTCTGGCGGCTCATGGGCCACAGCAGGGCATCCGAGGGCGCGTCGCCGAAGATGCAGTCCAGCATCTCCACCGCGTCGGGCGGCTCGACTCGGGCGCTCTGGATCTTGGGTCCGAGAGCGGCCGTCTTCGGCAGCTGGATGGCGAACGGCGCGAAAGGCCCCTCACAGAGGATGTCGCGCGGCAAGGCCAGCTGGGCCCGCATCGCCAGCAGGAACTTGACGCACCAACAACACACACACACACACGCACACACACACACACACACACGCACACACACACACGCACACACACACACACACGCACACACGCACACACGCACACACGCACACACGCATACACGCACACACGCACACACACACACACGCACGCACGCACACACGCACACACGCACACACGCACACACGCACACACGCACACACGCACACACGCACACACGCACACACGCACACACGCACACACACCACACACACACCACACACACCACACACACCACACACACCACACACACACACATACCCATAGGGGCATCTGAGAGGGCTATGGGTGCGTGTTGTCGGATGGGGGTTCCCGCTCGAACGGGAGCGTTCCCCAGGGTCCGACAACCCGCACCCATACCCATAGCCAGTCCTCCTCTCAGCGACCTCCCAATGGGTATGGGTGTGTGTTGTTCGTTCGTCAGAACTCGCTCGGGCGCATGATGCCACCGAACCCCGCGGTGAGCAGCGCGGCGATGCGTGGCCATCCCCGCAGGGGGCAGAGAGCCGTCGGGGCACCAGCGGCATGGCAAAGTGGTGGTTCCCCGGCTCGAGCGCAATCCACTGGCGCCCAAGGTCCCACGCCGCGCCAAGCAGCTTCTTGAGCTCTGGCGCCCTGGAGGCCACCGCGTTCACAGTGTCGGCGCACTTTCTGCAGGGGCCTCCATCCGCCAGAGATACCGCCCAAACTCCACCAACTCGCCATTGGTAATGCGAGGGTCTCCAGGCGTCTGCTCCAACGGGCTCACGAGACAAGGGGGTCCAGCATTTTCCAGGAGCCGCTGGTCGAATTCACAAAGTAGTTTCTCCCTGGAACGGCGAGTCGCCGCGCGAATCGGACGCCCTGCGGGTAGGGGCACCGCGCGTCGGTCCGCAAAGTCAGGATCATACTTAGCCAGTCGGGACCCCCCAAATGTAACATCGCCCGAATGATAGCAAGGCGCAGGAACGCGTTGCGCGCACTCGAAGATGCCGCGCCACCCCGAGCCACAGGGAGGCGACTGCGGTCATCAGGACGAGGGCGCCGAAACCCAGGTACCTCGGCACGCCCCGTCAGCTGCACAACGTATAGGCGTCGCTGATGCAGGGGCCCTGCGCGATGAAACACAGGTGCGAATTCACGCTTCTCCGACTTCATGCAAGCCGCTCCGAGCCCACAGGGGGCCGCATGCTGTCGCCTAGAGCCCATCGACGTCTGATGGCTTCCAAGTGCCGAGAGCTCAAAGCCACAACGACCCCGCGCGTATGCGTAGCTGTGTACTTAGTAGCTGAGCCCTCAATAGCCGTATGCATATTGGCGCGATGGCGCCGCGTTTTAGGACAGCGCGCCGCCGCGTCAGCAAACTCGGGAAGCCTGCAGTCAGCCAACGGAACTCTTTTCGGTGGACGACGTCGCCATCGAGCGCGGCGTCACGGTAAGCGCACGAGGCGAACCGGGTCTCAACCGCACCGAGGAGCAAGAGGCGGGGCCGCTCCTGCAGCCGCGCCATCTTCGACAAGCGGGGCTGTTCTAACCTTCCAGGAGCTCCAACACGTAGACCAACAAGCATAAGCAGTAGACAGCGGATGGCAAGAAGGTTACCCAGGCGCGTCTTAGGGTCAGTGCGGTTGAAACCAGTCGGTTGGCGGTAGGGGCGGACGGCAGGATGAGCGGCTGGGGAGAACGTGGTGCAAGCTCTGCAGCGAAGGTGAGGATGCGGCGGCCCTCATGCAGCATCCAAACCGCCCGCTCCATCTGGCGGCGCGAAGAGAGATCATAGCACCTAGAGCACGAGATGTCACCCACTGGGCCAACCGGGACACTACGGGATGCGATATGACGGCTTAGTACACCAGAGCCGCCGGCAAACTCGATGCAGTCGAAGACCATGGCAGTGCCTCGGCTGACATAGGTCGGGAGGCCCGACTCGACGCGCCGCGCGCTCTCCACGGGAGGGGGCAGCGCGCCGGCACCGAGCAGAACTCCCCGAGCCCGACTGTCGAGGCGAGAGTGGCCTCCCTCGCGGTCGCCACAGCGCCAGAGGGCCGACGACATCGCAGGCGCAACACCCAGGGTACAGATAGCTCCGAAAGACGGCGAGGCGTCAGTGGCGTAGACGACGTCACTGAAGGGGACGGTGAGATCCGTCTCCGCGGCGACCGAGAGGACAGACGCCAGAGCAAGCTCATCCCTGACGCTGCGGGTCACGTCACGGACCTGGGCAACAATGCCGTGCGCGTGGTTGAGGCAGACGAACAGCGGCCAGCGGTAAGTATATACTGCTCCTGAAGAGCCTACCAGCGTATCTACCAAAGCCACAGGGGCTCGAGGAAGTTGAGCAGCACGAAAGCAGATTTCAGCCAGGGGAAGCCTACGGGAGATAGGCGCACCCACAGGGACGTACCCACGATCCAACATCTTTGCCGAGGAGTCAACCTCGGCCCCAACGACCACGAAACGATCGGCGTCTCTGACCTTCTTGGACGGGCTGCCCACCAATGAGGAGTCGGCATAGGCCAAGCGCCCAGCAAGGTCGAAGAGGTCCAAATCGCGACGAGACTCCCCAGGAGGGTACGCATGGCACCCAATTACAATATAGTCATCACTGCACAGGCTCTCCACCACGTCACCGCGCGGGAAGGGGGCCCTACCGTCGATGAAGTTCTCGGGCGCAAGCAGGCCGTAGCTGCGGAGGAGGTTGAGGTGGCCGCTCTGGGTGATATCAACGGCAATGTTATCTCCAATCGGGTAGGGCGCAAGGGTGCCGTGAAGGGCTCTAGGCGCACCGCGAGGAAGACCGCCGTCACCCAGAAGGAATCGGTCACCATGTAGATCGCGTCGACCTGGAGGACCTGGACGACGACGGTCAGCTGCGAAGAGGAAGTGCTCAGGATCGACGCCAAGAGATCTGCGCAGTTGGCCCACCGGCATGGGCCCCAGGACGTTCGTGGCGGCGCGCTCGGGCGTGACAAATTCCTGGTAGAACATATCACGACGGTCGGACGAGGACCCACGAAGGTACTCCGTGCCACGAGCAACACTGCACTCACAGAGACGGGCTCCGGCTGCTAAGTGAGCAGCGGGGCCCCCCACAATCTTCGCCTCCTGCCCGTTGGGGCCCTAGTCGATGATCAACTGGTCGTGCGCGGCATTTGTCCACGCGCTGAACGGATTACATTGCTCATGTGTTGCAACAGGGCACTCTGCGATCCCGAGGAGCCCCATTGGTCGATTGGATTGGCAGGGGCTCATGCCTGCTGCTACTCATGGTTTTCCTGTCTTCGGCATGACCACACCCAATATCAAGGAGCTTCGGTCTTTTGATCGCGTGTCCTTTATCTCGATCCCATCGTTGTATCACTATGGAACTTGCGCCTGACTGGATTGTGAATCCTGCTGTCCCTTGCCATGTTGATGTGTTATTCTGGGGTTCGCCTCTTCTGGAATGGATTGCTTCCGCGGCACTTTTTGGACGAGGCCCTGACTTGGGCTATATCCAAATGTCCCTTTGGGTACTCATTGGGACGACCGCCGAGGCCCAGCATCTGCCCTTGTTGCAACGCTGCTGCGGCTCGGCTGGCGCTTGTCTTCGACGTCCTTGTGGGTAGCCCCTGGGGCTTATGAATCGCAGTGGGTCTGATTTCCCTTCGGGGCGGTGCTGTTGCGGTATCTCGGGCTGGAGGTGTGTGGGCTTGGTGTCAGACTGCGCCCCATCTTCCTCTTCTTGCTCACTGGGACGACCCCCCGTACCTGCCGCCGAAGAGGAAGCTCGTTGAATGGCTGGGTCGGCAACAGAGTACTCGC